TCGTCGTCGTCGTCGTCGTCGTCGTCGTTGCTGCTTCTCTTCCTTTCCCCTCTTCTCTCTTCCCTGTATCTTTCTTTTATATTTTTCTCACTCTCTTTTCCCTTCCCACCATCTTCTCGTTCCACCGCGTTGTGCGAGTGTGTGTGTGTGTGTGTATCCTCCTGCGGCGTCTGCTCACGCTTGTTTGTTTCCACGCGCTTTAACGAATTCCGACCTTCGACGGCTGAGGAACGTACACGTAACGGCGTAAAACGTTACGTCGCGCGATTATCTGTCGCTATTTTTCGATCGATACGGGGGGAGGAGGAGGAGGAGATGGAGACTTCTATCCTGATTTCGTTCTGTGGTTTCTTTTTCTTTTTTTTTTTTGTAGATTACGCGGCGATCTGGTTCAACTCTCTTTCTTCCTTTCTTTCTTTTTTATTATGTACAGAGGTTGCGCTCCTCGTGGAAAAATAGGGAGGAGGACTTCCGTGATGCGGGTGATAAGATAAAAGGGAATGACCGTTCGATTCGGCGGAGGCTGCTTTGCCATTCTGATTCGCCGCGAAAATTATTCCGAATTTTTCGAGAGAGTGATCGATTCGATACTCGTTGTATTTTTAAACGGCGTATCGAGACGAAAAATCGATTTCCAGAAATCTTGAATTGAGCGACGATTTTCTAAGATCAACGAGGATACTTCGTAAATCTTTCGTGCGATTTTGAGTTTAATCTCGAAAGGGGATGGAATTTGTACGAGTGAGGATAACGATGCTCCTTCAGTGAACGAGTAAAACTAAAACTGTATCGCGATAAGCGTGTTTAAGAGACGTGGACAAAGTAGAAAATTTAAGGGATGATCTTGTTGAAACAAACCGATGTGTATCGATTTACAATATATAAAAAATTGCTATTATTCCAAAAAAGATATTAAAGGAAGAAAGAATATCAATAACAAGATGCATCGAATTAATATTATCCTCTTGAAATATACCAAGATCGATAAGAATTTCAAATTTCAATGCTTCCATTTTCATTTTTGTTTTATTTGCTTATTTTCCTTTTTTTCTCTTCATTTCGTTCCTCTAACATCCTGTAATTATCCACGAAATCAAAACACGCGACACACGGATAATTAGCGGTTTTAATTTACGAATTTCGTCCCATTAAACCGTTTCGATTCGCGCGCAACATATCACGTGTCCGTTGCGCCGAAAAAATTCTTTCTCCCTTTCCTTCCACCGGTTGATCGTTCATTAATTCGATCCTAGCCGTTCGTGTCCATTCACAAATCTCGAAAGATATCGTATAGGTGGATAGGGAAAATTCAGAGACAGTTGCAAGCGTTCCGTGTCGCAGCTGAAAATATGGAAAATCGTTAGAAGGAACGAAGTTTTCGGGGGAGGCAGCGATGAATTCGTCCGGGGACCTGTTCTGCCCGGGACAACTATTGTCCTCCTTTCCGGTTTTTCTCTCGTTCTGGATTCCATTTTCAACACTGGAAAAGAAAAAAGGAAAGAAATATCAATGTTTGTTTCGAATATCTCTCCACAGTTCTCTCACCTTGCGATCGCGATCGATTGCCATTTTAGATTCTCGATGATATTTAAAATTTCGTTTTAGATCATGACTCGTGGTCAATCACGTCCAATGATTAAATAACAAGAATGAAATATTTATTCAACGTTTATTGAAATTTCCATTCTTCGTTAAAATCTCCTTTACACAACACCACGGTGCCATTTTAGATTAATTTGGTATTAATTAATTCGACGTGGCCCTCCTCGATGCATTGGTTAAACAAGAAGATGAAATATTTATTAAAATTTACCACACATAATCTTCGTGTGGTGGTAAAATTTCTTTGCGACGATGCCATTTTCAGATCGATTTAATTAATTAATTTGATTGACTCGATATTGGAAAAAGAGCGAAAACGTCTTATTTACCTTTTGACCCGCCAAATTTACAAAAATATTTGCAATTGATTAATTCGTTGCACGTTTTAAAGACGATACCTTAACCAACGACGATGCCCAAAGTGTTCCACTGAATCGGGTGCGCGCCGCCTTTTTTCGCCCGGTTTTTTCCAAAGCTCGGACCGATTCCGCCGTCAATAGGATCGCTGCTCGTTAATACATCGTCGGACAATAGTTTCTCCGCGGCTTTTCGCCGTGCACCACCTCCTCCGCCCCCTCTCCCTC